TTGGCGAGTGGGCGACGGCACTGCAGTACGCCAACATCATTGGCATCACAATCGTGGCCATCTTCATCGTCATGTCTGTTGTGTCCTGCGTGATGGACATATTGTCTGATGCGAGATTCGTCTAGGTACCACTCGCAAGCGTTTTACAACCAGTGCAATTACGACTTTTCGGTTGCGGTCATGGTGCCCATCTTTTCGCTCAACGCGACCGAGTCGAAGGACCCCGTGAGCTGCAAAGCGTTCCTCGAGAGGAAGAGCGACATCATTTTCCACCAAGTGTTTGCTTTCATCATCCTCGAGCACGTCGGCTTTATCATTCGGTACCTCGCGACGCAGGTACACTCTCTCGACCCACGACCGACCGGTTCAAAGGACGTACTTGTAGGGCGACAAGGTCCCGCGCTCGATCGGCAACCCGAGCTACGTGCGCCTCAAGCAGCTGCGCGAGCTCGCGTCCAAGCGGTCAGCCGTCGTCGAGCAGTTTGAGTACATGAAGCAGCTGCGCGTCGTTTTCGACAAGCACGACCGCGATGGCATCGACCACTTGTACGAAGAAGAGCTCGTGTCCTTCCTCGCCGAGTGGGTCGGCACGGACAAGTCGAAGCTTGCGCCGTATGGCTCGATCCTCTTTCGCTACATGGACAAGAACCGGCTCGGGAAGGTGCCCTTCTCCACCTGCTGCCTCATGCTCCGCCACGCCGAGTACGACCGGTTCTTCTCGGTGCTCCTCGGCACTTGCGACTCGCTCGACAACTTTCGCAACGACCGCATGCGACTCTCGCTGGCGGACGAAGGTCTTGGCGCCCACGCCCGGCACCTCTCGCGGTACCAGTCGCTCTCGAGCCACACGCCTCGCCAGAGCCACGACGGCTACGACGGCGTACCCAGCGACGACGACGATTCGTCGTTTGTGTCGCTCCGACTGCGGCACGCGTACAAGTCGGACGACGAGACGCCAACGACCAACGTTTAGTCGACTTTTTTACAACACTCTATTGGAATGAAATGCTTCAGTGCATGTCGACCTGCACCACGTTGCAGACAAAGGCCGAGTAGCCCATCTCCATGAGCCGGAGCCGCGGCGCGATCGAGATGAGCTTGCGCTTGACGGGCGAGAGCTTGGGGTCGGCGGCTGCGGGCGATGAAGACGGTGGCACCATCGTGCCCGGCGGATCGATCACCGTCTTTTTCTTGGGCGACGGCGGCACCCGCGCCCCCGGCGTCTTGACGTTGATGCTCTCGACGACAAAGATGTTTTGCATCGCGTACGGCTCGAGCATCTAGCAGCTCGCGGCGCAGTCGTCGAGTCGACGCAGCACACCTCGCCCAGCGCGAGCTTGACGACGCACTCGACGAGCGCATCGATGCTCTTGGATTCGACGCAAATGGTAAAGTAGACGTCCTTGTGCACGGGCCGCGCGTCCAGCGCCACGTCAAAGGTCGATATCTCAACCTAGTTCTGATTGCTAAGCAGTGGTTCATCGGATGAATGAATCTACCTGGACGTTCTGAGACGTCATGGCGAGGCGCCAGAGGTGTCGGTCCTTCCGTAGACGTAGACGCTGCATGGGCGGCTTGAGCTCGACCTGCTCGAGCTCTTCGATGCCGCTACCGACCACCGCCTGCTTCACGGCATCGTCCGAGCCCATGTCGACGGCGGCGGCCGGTAGCCGCTTCTTAAGCCACGTCTGTGCGCCGCAGACGTCATCGATCGCCTTGGCAATCTTGATCTGACGATGTTATACGTTTGCTTCCCCATCGTAAAATAATAGTATGGAAGGGCACCTCCAGCTGTGGCGACGACGCGAGGTTGCGAAACTTGATGCCAATGTTGGGCGTCGGCAGCACGATAAAGACGTCGGTTCGCTTCTCGGGCAGCATCGCTTGGCTCACTTTGAGCGCGTTGAGCGTCACGGCGAGCGAGTCGAGGATCTCCTGCGTCGCCTCCGAGAGCGTCCCGAACATGCGCCATTCCCACATATTCAAAAAGCGTTTTTGAAACCAAAGGTGTCTTTTAGTGGTGGTGGACTTTTTGTTTCGAGACAAACTGGTACAAGAGCAGGAGGGTCGCCGAGCGCACGCCCGAGATGCGACTCGCAGCGTGCAGCGACGTGGGCTTGGCGGCCGAGAGTTTCTCCTTCTCCTCGTTCGAGAGCATCGGCAGCGCGAAGTAGTCGAGGTCTTCGGGCAGCTTGATGTGCGCCTTCGAGCGCAACGCCGAGATCTCTTTGGCTTGGAGTCGCAGCTGCGTCTGGTACAGACACTCGGTCTTCATGTGGGACCGGACGCTCTCGTGGATGTCTAGATGTGGATCGTCAATCCGAGATTTCCAGAGAGAAGAAATACTGGTACCATGCGGGTAGTTGTACGTCTTCCAGATCGCGAGCATGTCCTCGCACGACACTAATCGTCGAGTTGAGTTTGAGAGACGCCATTAGCTTCGTACCTTGGGGAAAGGCGAGGACGTCGGCCGCCGACCGCTTGACGCCGTCCTTGGAGATGGTGATGCCGTCGATCTTGCACCACTCGTGCGGGTCCATCGAAAAGTTCTTGAGGTGCGTCCACGCTTCCGCAATGTGCGCTTCCTTCGCCTGCAGCACCGCAAGGCGCTCGTCCGAGACGAAGCCCGCCGCGTGGCCACGCGCCGTGAGCCGCAGGTCGCAGTTGTCCTGCTCCCCGTTCGTAATTCATCCAAAGTCGAAACATTTAAGTACCTGGCGCAGCAAGAGGCGGTACTCGGACCGCGAGGTAAACATGCGGTACGGCTCCTTGGTGCCGAGCGTCACGAGGTCGTCGACGAGGACGCCGATGAAGCCGTCGGCGCGGTCCAGCGTAAAGGCGGGCTTGCCTTGCACGGCGAGGCCGGCGTTGATACCGGCGAGGACGCCCTGCGCGCCTGCTTCTTCGTACCCTGTCCCAACGACGTCAATTCACATGGAAAGGTATAGTAAAGAAGACCTGTCGTGCCGTTGATCTGGCCCGCGAGGAAGAGACCGGGCACTTGCTTCGTCTCGAGCGTGTGGTGCAGCGATCGCGGGTCGATAAAGTCGTACTCGACCGAGTAGCCAGGCTTGACGAGCTTGGCGTTCTCCAGACCCGGGATCGTCTGAATGAGCTGGATCTGGAGGTCCTCTGGTAGCGCTGTGCTCACACCTGCACAGTATCAGTCGCAGCTCATGTTTGAACCAGTGATTCGATACCGTTGGGGTAGTACACGTCTGTGTTGAGACCTTCGGGCTCGAGCCAGATCTGGTGGCGCGTCCGGTCGGCGAACCGAGTGACCTTGGCGTCAATGGACGGGCAATAGCGAGGCCCAATGCCTATTGCAATTGTCTGCGGACGCAAGTGGTCGACGAGCCCTTGTACCTTTACCCTCGTTCTCCGAGTACTGCGGAAGCAGCTTGATGTTATCACGCACAATCTTGTGGGTTGCTTCGTTCGTGTAGGTGACGTGGCAGGGCAGGAAGCGGTCTTCGAGCGGCAGCGACTTGCCTTCGTTGAGATACGAGAACGGCGTCGGGACGTCGTCGCTTGGCTGTGCTTCGAGTCCTATGAACCGCGTTCCCACGATGTGGCACGAGACGTCACACTAATACCGTCGAGGCAGATGCTACTGCCATCGAGGCGCGGCGGCGTGCCCGTCTTGAGCCGCCCGAGAGGAAAGTTGAGCCGCTCCAGCGTCAGTGCGAGACCCACGGATGGCGGTTCGACACCGTCTCTGCGCAATATATAGTGTCAAAGACAGATATTTCAAGCCAGAAAGCGTCGTACGCTTCACGCAGCTTGCGGCCCGCGGGGAAGGACTTGTCGCCGATGAAAATGCGGCCGCGCAGAAAGGTGCCCGTCGTAATGACCTAGATCGCTTGAGCTTTTTTGTTTTTTTCGAATCATCAGCATACGACGGCTGAGGCGGGGATCGTTGTGCCGGACGACGTGATGACACCCGTGACCTTGCCCGTCACCGGACAGATTGTAATGTCTTCCGCGCCGTCCTCGACCATGGTCAAGTTGTCTATCGCCGCCGTGTGTTAAATAGTGTGACGGGCAGAAAGGTACCTTGCGCGCGAAGCGCATCCTGCATGTTGGCGCGGTAGATGTCGCGGTCCATCTGCGCGCGCGGGCCGCGGACCGCCGGGCCCTTGGACGCGTTCAGCATCTATCAGAGCTGAGCTTTCTCATAGCTTATTGCAGTGTACGCGGAATTGGATGCCCGCCGAGTCGGCCACGCGGCCCATGAGCCCGTCGAGAGCGTCGATCTCGCGCACGAGCGTGCCCTTGCCAACGCCGCCGATCGAAGGCTACACAAACGCCTGAGGCTTTGGATCCTCCACTTCAATTCCCATACGTTGCAGGACATTTCGCCAACCGTCTCTAGTTTCTACACATTGCGTTAGCGGCAACCAGCAGTGAGATAGTGGAATTACCTGCGTCAAGAGAGCCGTCTTGGCGCCTGCGTTGCGCATGAGCATGTACATTTGGCATGATATAGTCGACGTACCGGTGCGCGCAGCTGCGGCTGCCGCTTCGCAGCCAGCGTGACCGCCGCCAATGACGACCACGTCGTAGGCTCGTGCAGCTTGGGACAACCAGCGAAGGCTCGTCGCCCGACGGGCGCGCTGGACGCGGGACGCCAGCATATTTCTCACTCTCCCGCCGTTGCCATTGGCCAACAAACCTATGCCGCTTTGATTGGTCCAAAGGTGGCCAATCGGACGACGCGATGGCGATCTGACCAAGGTCTCGGATATTCACATGGACAAATTGACACGCGAACCTCTTCATTACTTGGTGCCAAGCGATGAGTCAGAAGTGACTCCAGCGAGGTTTGCATCGACCGACAGTTGCTGGCTGACGATGGCTGTATTGTAACTCGATGTTGATACCCTGCCAGCCACGCCATCAAGCCGTTGCTACTCCGCCCAATGATTATATTGATCTCCACTGCAACACCGTTCTTATCTTATAGAGCTCCATAAAGTCATGTGCTCTATACTGTAGCATTGGCTTCTACGGGACGACGCGCCTCTGGTTGCTTTCCCAAGACGAACTCGAGGAGACTTGCAAATTTGGACGTTTTCCATCTCACCATTCGATCTCTGCATTGGTGACATGTGAATGCGCAGTGGCCAGATAGTGCGTAGCTGTGTCACCACAACATATACAATGGAACTCTATGAAGTCGGTGGTGCGGTGAAGACTAGAATTGTTAGGTTGAACGACAACATTAACGTCGAAATGCTTGATTAGTGTTTGTTGACGCAATGGCTGCATGGAAGTTGTAGGCATTAAATAGCATCGCGCGACCGGTTCTTCCTAGCCTGCACAGGCGTGAAACGACCTGCAATGTTGCAAGGGCGTACCAGAGCGAGCATGAGTTCTTGTTCGCGCTGCTGGAGGTGCTCGAGTCGCTGGTTCATCTGGCGCACTTGGGTCAAAATATCTTCATCGCCAGAGCTTTGTTGCTGCGACTGCAGCTGCGCCTACAACGTATTTTAACTTGATGCGGCAAGTATGTAGTACCTTGAGCCGCGCATTTTCCTGCGTCAAGCGGTCGATTGTTGCTTGGGCCGCAAGGGACGTCGGCTTGGCTTGCTGGTACTTTTCTAATGTCTCTTGAAGTGCTTCGTTCTCGCGCCTACGATCAAACCGAGATCGCTACTGTCGGTTTGTATCGGCGATACGCTACGTGAGATTGCCAAGGCGGTGCTCTGCGTAGCCTTGGTTGGCGTGCAGCTGTGCATTCTCCTGTTGGAGGTAAATGAGTTGGCTCTGGTACGCTGCGACGACGCCGCCGAGCGCGTCCGACTCGGGCGCGTTCGCCTCAATATGGAGCGATGGCTTGGAGGCTAGCGGTGGGATCTGTCGTGGCGCTTTGGCTCCCATCTCTTTTTCGTGCTTGGCGCTGCTCGTGATGCCGTGCGTGTGCAGCTGCTGCTTTAAGAAGGCGTTTTCTGTGCGCAAGAGCTGGTTCTCGTGGCGCAGGCCCGAGATGAGACCCTCCTTCGGGTCGGTTTGCACGGTCGGCTTGTTTTGAATGTTCTTGGCGCGCGTCGCGTAGTTGAGTGTGCTTAGCGTGTCTTCGAGGAAGCACGGCGCAGGCGAGACGCACGCCACCATGAGCGTGAGACTCTGGCCGCCGAGCGAGTCCATGAGCAGCTTGGTGAGCTTGCTGTCGCGGTACGGCACAAAGTTGGCGTTGGCTGCGACGCCGCCTTTGGCGCCCAGCGCCGATATGACCTTGCCTAACGTCATGAGGCTCTTGTTGATGCTCGACGTCTCCTCCGTCTTGGACGACTTGGTGTCTCGGAGCCGCTCACTAAATAGACACATTTTCACTAATCTACTAATCTTTCGAGAGAAGTACCTGCCCGCGAGATCGACAAACGAAATTTTTCCAAACTTGCCGACCGCGTGGCCGTCGGTCGGGTCGACGGCCTCTTGGTCCAAGAGCAGCGTCAGGATCGAGTGACTTCGACTCGAATCCTTGTTCATCTCGTGGCTCCCGACGCTGATATCGATAATATATTGATACATTGATACCAGCCGTCGCAGTAGATGGACGCACCGGCGGTTTTTGTGGCCTTCGTCGACGACCGCGACGACATCGTCGATCGTGTCGCATTGCACGACGAGTAGGTTCTAGTCGACGTTAGTACGTTGTAGCGACTAGCTAATACTGTACCTGCACGTAAAAGCCGTTGCGGTCGTTCCAGCGAATGTTGAGCGTGCCCGAGGCCGGGTTGAGCAAGTCGTAGGCCTGTCGAGGTGTTATAACACAGACATAAAGGTTCGTGAAGCACTTGTTCGTTGTAGATCTCGCAGTACGAGGCCTTGAGCGTGTACTTGGTACTGGACTGAGCCTCGATCGCGTCGTAGAGGTACCGGATCGAGCGCGGAATGAGACCGTCCGACGCCTCGTGCCGCCGGTCGCGCTTCTCGATCTTCTCGTCGAGGCCCGACATGCTGCCATTTGGAGTTGAAGCTGCGAATCAGAGACTTCGCGATGTCTATTGTCACCTGTAGGTCTTGCCCGACCCTGTCTGGCCATACGCAAAGACGGTCGCAAGGTACCCCTCGAGCGCCGAGTCCAGAAGCGCTGTGACGCCCGAGAGCTCGAAAAACTCGGACTGGCCGACCTCTTCGGACGCGCACACGTCAAACTGGAAGCTGCGCACGAGCTCGCGACCGCCAGCGCCGGCCGAGACGACCTGCAGCTCTGTCCTAGTACACACACGGAGGATTCGAGGCTGCGATGTACTAGAGATTCTACCGGTTGTTGGACGAGAAGCGCAAAACAGGCGCTTCGCCCCGCGCGGCTTCGGCGGCGTTGAGCGGCCGCGTGCGCACGATGACGCGGACGCTACGAAGATGCTTATTGCGACGAATGGACAACCATCGAGACGCACGTGCTGTCGGGCTTGCGGCTCAATGCTGTCGGAGGCGCGTTCTCGGCCTTGCGGCTCGGCGCTCGGGTCTTTCGCAGCGCAGCGCCTACCAAGGCCCTTGGCTACAGCCTAGGATGCATGTTCGATGTACCCAGCGGCGGGTCCTTCCGCGCCGAGCCTTGGTTCGCCGGCGGCTGCGGCTGCTGCCGGTGACTCATTGCCGTTTCACGCGATTACGTTTCCTAGTCGACATTCGACTAACTAAACGATGTCAAGTGTCTCTGAGCGCCGCCCTAGGCACTAGCGCGCTATAATACGGCAATTCTGGTCTTGGGATACCAATGCATTGTGTCTGAGGCCGTGTCCCTCATTCATATGCAGTGTGAAGCGTGCTCCGTCTAGAGCGGGTCTTAGTTAGTCGATCGTCTAGTCCATCGCCAGGCGTGGTAGTCGGTGCTGGCGCCGCACGTTTTGATTGGCCAAAATACTCGGATCTTGCACAAAACCAGGCAAGTTGCAAATTTTGGCCGTATCTCTCGCTCGCGACGATGGCCGAGGTCCCGCCGATGGTGCGTGACACGACGGCCCTCTGCTGGGCCGCAGGCATGGGCGACACGGACCTTCTGCTCCAGCTCATCGACGCCGGCGCCGACGTCAACCTCGCCGACTACGACCAGCGGTGCGTCATGTTGCCGGACAGGTCGGTCGCTCATGGGCGGCGCTAGGACACCGCTGCACATTGCGGTGAGCGACGGCAAGTCGAGCGTCGTCGAGATGCTTCTCAAGGCCGGCGCCAACGTCTACAAGAAGGATCGGTGGGGCGCGACGCCTCTTGACTGCGCCAAGGACCCGAGCGTCGTGAGCGTCCTTGCGCAGTTTGTGCGGTTCCAGTCGGACGTGCCATTCGCATCGGACCGTGCGCGGCCGCCCCTAAGCCGGCGTTCTCCACACAACTTGCAGGAGATTGCGACCGCCGCCCGCAGCGACGTCCTCGACCCGAGCACCGTCTTTGCCGCGGTATGAAGACCGCCCTTTTCTTCCGCATATCTCCGCACGCCGCATGTAGGTGCAAGCCGGCGACACGGAAACCCTCAAGCGCGCCTGGCTCGACGGGCTCAAGGTCGATGTGACCGACGCTCTTGGCCGGTACGACGTCCAGGATTATCGCGTTGCACTTCAATGCGAATAGCACGGCGCTGCACGTGGCGGTCGAGCACGAACAACTGGACGTGATCGAGCTCTTGCTCTCGGCGGGCGCCAAGGTCGACGCTGCCGACGCGGTCGGTCGCACGCCCATGTCGCTGGCTGTCGACGCGAATTCCAGCGCGATCGTCGACGTCCTCCGGCAGCGACACCAGCCGCCGCCGCCACCGAGCGACAACCGCATGGCCTTGGCCTTTGAAGCCATCAAGCGCGGCAACGTGGCCTACCTCATGCAGCTCGTGCCGCAGAGCGTGCACCCCGATGTCCAAGACTACGATGCGCGGTAGACCATGCGCCATCGACATATCGCATGACTGTGGGTAGGTCGCTTTTGCACGTCGCTTCCAGCGAAGGCGACCTGCGCATGTGCCAGTACCTCGTCGAGTGCGGCGCCAACGTCAACGCGCTCGACCGCTGGGGAAGCTCGCCGCTCGCCGAGGCCACGTACTTTGCCCACCACGACGTCGCCCGGTACGCGTCCCCGCGCAAGCTCTTCGCATGAAAATGGGCGGCGTAGGTACCTCCGGGCGCATTACGCAGTCGAGCACGGCCACGCGTACGACGAAGCGATGAACCAGATGGACCCAAGTGTGCTGGACACGGCCATCGAGCACGTCCTTCGCACTGTTTGCGCCGTACTATCGCTGCGTCGAGATCCTGCATCTCAAACCGCTCGTAGGCCAAGTGGAGCTTTGGCGAAGCGTGCATTCCCGTCAAGGACGAGGACAGCGACGGGTGCGCGATCGTTCTGCACTCGGTCTGGTTTCGCCCCCACAATATCGGGGACGACAATGTCGATATGACAAGGTTTTCCATGTTACAGCAAGAAACGTTTGGGCTGAAAGAATCGCCTAGGGACGCGATGCTGCCGGTGCTGCATGCGGCGTGGAGCCGCCACGCCAACGGCGGCGCCAAGCTCGACCCGATTCTGCTCTTTCGCAAGGCGCGCGGCCTCATGCTCGTGGACCCGGGCCAGGACCACGTCGGGCGCGTCTACAGGTATAGTTCAACACATGCAATGCACGGAAGCAAGAGACGAGCTTGTAGCGGCCAGCAGCCCGAGTGGGTCGCCAACCTCACGCACACGCCGCAGTCCAAATTCTTTTTGGGCCGCATGCGCGCAAGGCGGGGCTCAAATCCCTCCTCTCCGTGCCAATGGTCGCCAAGCTCGCCGTTGTCGCCGTCCTCTCCTGGTACAGCCACGAGGTATTCCTCTCCGATTCCTACTCCATCGAGTAGCATTCAGCTATAGAGCTATGGGGAAGACGTCGCGTACGTGCAGCGGATCCAGCGCCTCGTCAAGGGTGTCACGCTCCTCTGTTCGCTCAAGCACGTACGCACACGTGTTGTTTCGAGGGAATAGATCCGCAGACGTCGATGTAGGAGACGCATTTGGGCATGTCGCGGTACCAGTACTGCTACGCGCTCGAGAGCGCCCTCACAGGCGCGGGCGAGCTCTTGTATCCCTCCGTGACGGCGGACGAACGTGCGTCGTTTGGAGAGAATTGACCTTCCATTGACACCCCGAACGTAGTGGCGCTGCACGACGTCGTGTCGCTGGCGCTGACGTGGCGGCTCTTTGACTATATCGACAAGATCGCAACCTCCATGAGCAGCGAAGACCACTGGGTACCTGCATATATGTGTCGGCCAACGTCGCTGACTCGGATCTAGGCGGCCGTGAACATTCTTGCGTCGCTCGTTGGGCTCGTCACAAAAGGTCTCTTTGATGACGTGATCTCGGGCGCGCTTCTGGAGCTGACGCCGGACGACCTGACGCCATCGATCACGACAAAGGTACTTGGATCGCAACTTGCTATTGCCTTGCATCCCATAAACGTAGGCGGAACTCGTGCAACACGTGTTCTACTACCTCTCGTACTGGACCGCCGTGAGCCCGACCGAAGGCGACTTCTTCTCCAAGGTGCACCATCTCTACAACGAGCTGCAGCGCCACGTGCATCCGTCGACGGCGCCAGCACCCGTACTGGTCGTCGAGGAGCCACCGCCGGTAGCGTCCGACGAGCTCGAGTGCATTCTCTGCAAGTACAAAGTGTCGGGTACGAGTGCCAGTATGCGGGCCTTGTTGCTGATAAGCCGCAGGTCACATCCACCGCGGGAAAATGCCGCCGCCGGCCGTCGTGGCCCCGCCACCGCCACGTGCGTTCGCATCTACCTTGATACATTGAAGTAAAATTGTGTGGCTAGTCGCCCCACCACCGAGCCTCTTTGGACGCGTGCCGTCGCCCGTTCTCCGGGAGCTCGAGCAGGTTGCTCTCGATTTCCTAAATCTGCGCACTCTGAGCGCGCGCACTGGATAGCTGCCGCGCCTCCTCGCCGACGAGTTTGATCGGTCCGGACTCCAAGCCAAGCTCGCGAACCGCGCGTTCGAGGGCTTTTCGTCGACGCCGTTTACGATGAGCGACGTCTACGATGCGCTCGGGAGTGCCCACGACCGCAAAGGCGCGTTCCGGTGCGTCGTCTCTCGCTGTCCATTCTTCGTTTTCTACGACGTTCTAGACCGTCGACGCCGCCGCCGACCGCCGCGCTCCTCTCGATCCTCAACACGATCTTGGTCGATCCGCGTAGCGTCGTGTCCCACGACCAAGTGCTCACGCTGCACCGCGCCGTGTGCGAAGCCGCAGGCGAGACGGGCGGTACGTCAACGATCGTCGCCTCTGCATCTCATCGTGAGCGGAGGCATGGCGCGGGACAATGCGGCGGTCGGGTACGCCTCGGAGCGCATCTACCGCGTCTTTTTGCCCGCCGAAGAGATTGCATCGGCCCTCACGCTCTACGTTCGGACGCTCAACCAACCCTTTCAGCACCCGCTGGTGACGGCCTACTACGCGTTTGCGGCGCTTGTCTTCTTCATTCACCCGTTCTACGACGGCAACGGACGGTGCGCTGTGAAGTCGACGTTTAGGGTTTTGAGTTGGGACTAGGACGGCGCGGCTCTTGGGGAACGTTCTCGCGCGCAAGGGCGGCTATCCCAGCATTTTCCGGCACGTCGACAAGACGATCCAGCTCACGCCGTTCCTTGAGACAGCGATGCACACGCTCGAGATGCAGGAGACGGTGCGCCGGACCCGCCAAGGCCGCCTCGCAAAAGGCAGCAAGACCACGTCGACGTGGTTTTAACCCTACCCTCCATCGCACACTATATAACGTGCGACACGATTTAAAGAAGCATACTATTTGCGAACGTTCCACAGCAGTGATGGTCAAGGTCTTGCTCTGCGGCGACGTCGGGAGCGCGTGGCCCGCGCTCCGCGCCCGCGTCGAGAAGCTGCATGCGTCGGCGCATGGGCCCTTCAACATGGTTCTCTGCACGGGCGCGTGCGACGTGTCGGCGCTCGACGACGCCGCCTGGCCGCTGGCCGTGTACGCGTTGGCGGCGCCAGGAACGCCGAGTCGCACGATCACCAATCTCCATCTCGTCTCGACCAATACCGTCCTCGAGCTCTGTGGGCTTCAAGTGGCCTTCTTGGCCGATGAAGCCGCTGGCGCTACCTTCGCTGCAGCGCTGGCGCCCGTCGACGTGCTCGTGTCCGCGGCCTACCCCGACGGGTACGAGGGTCTCTACTGCTGCGTCTACGACTGCTACTGGCATGGTGTAGCTTCGACGCGCTCTTGCCAGATAAGGTTCCGGTCGCGATCCAGCACGTGGGCTCCAAGGTGCGCAGCAGTACCATCCATTTTTGTCCAAATTGCGACGCTACGGTGTGCTAGGAAGCGCGGCTCGCGGCCCAAGCGGCGGTGCCACGATACCACATTGTGGGCACGCACGGCGTCTTTTACCAGCATCTGCCGTACGTCACGGACGTCCCGAGCGCTGGTCGTCGCGTCTCGCGTCTCATTGGCCTCGGCCACGTCGGCGCCTCGACCGACAAGGACAAGAAGTGGCTCCATGCGCTCAACCTCGAGGTGCGTTCCGCCAATCAAATCACTCGAATACAAATCCGCGCGCTAGCCGCTTCAACACGGCGTCTCGGTCGAGATCCCGCCGGGCACGACGCAGTCGCCGTTCCAAGCCAAGCGTCGCGGCGACGCCACTGAGCTCGGGGCAAAGCGTCTGAAAACCGACGGTGCGGGATGATCGCTAGAAACACGCAGCCACTTGAATCGGCATAGGTCTCTCGGCCGACAAGGTCCAACAGCTCACGCAGCAAAGCCAGAGCGCCGGGCAGTTTCGCTACGACCCGGCGCTCGCAGCGCAAGGCCAGGGTACACACACGCATGGAGGAACGGAAACTGGCTGCTTGATCCTCGTCTGCAGGTGCCCACGAGCAGATCCGCCGCCCCGTCGTTGCCAACCGATCCGAGTGCTGGTTCTGCCTCGCGACACCGACGGTCGAGACGCATCTCATCGTGAGGTACACTTCGGATTACCAAGAGACGAGGTTTAGTAAAGCGTAGCATTGGTGACGAGGCCTACGTGGCGATTCCGAAAGGTCCGATCGTGCCAGACCACGTGCTCATCATCCCGATCCAGCACGTCTCGAGCATGCGCAGCCTCTCGCCGGCGGCCGCAGCCGAAGTCGACAAGTTCAAAGCGGCACTGGAAAAGTACTCGATCGTTTTTCGGATTCCGCAGCATCTCTGACGCTTTGTAGGTTGTTTGCGAGCCAGGGCAAGTCGCTCATTTTCATGGACCGCAACGTCTCGACGCTCGGCGCGGCGCACGCCCACCTCCAAGTCATTCCCGTGCCCGTGGATGCCTGTACACTTCTTCTTCCTCGACAGGATGCTTATGGCTATCCTAGTGGCGCACGTGGGGCACATTTGCTTCGAGGAAGGCAAGCAGTACAACGTCGACTTTGAAATGCTGTCGCCCGACGCGCCGCTGCCGACGTCGCCGTCCGAGTACTTTTTGGTGAGCTTTCCCGACGGCGCTGGCGGCTACAACCGACTGTACCACGTGGTGCGCGGCAAGCACTACATGCAGTTTGGCCGCCACGTGGCCGCCACGCTCCTCGACATGCCGCGACGAGAGAACTGGAAGGTACTTCAACAACTCCCAGCTTCCCGTCGCATCCGATGTCTCGCTCTAGTACTGCGTCGTGCCCAAGGACGAAGAGACGGCCATGACGGACGCATTCCGCAAGGCGTTTGCGCCCTTTGATTTCACGGCACTTCGTGACTAAGACGCGTCATTCTTGCGACAAGCTAGACGCATCAATTCGCTAGACGGGCTCGTGCTGCGAGGATTCCGAGTCCTAATCCAGTAACGTTCATCAGGATATGCAGGACATGCGACGTGTAGTACGATAGCCGACGCGTGGTGTGGCTGGTTGCTGCCGTTGGTCATGGACGACGACGCCGCTCTTCGCCCGCGGCGGTACTGCACCGGTCCGTCCTGGAGCCGAATTTGCCCCTACACGTATCATTCGTATCCAGACGACACAAGTGCCTGTGTGTACGTTGCGGAAATCGTCGAGCGAGTCGTAGATGCCGAGGAGCACGGAGAAGAACCGGTCGTGGTGCGCGTGCTGGAGCATGAGGCAGCACGTGGAGAAGGGCACCTTCCCGAGCTGGTTCTTGTCCATGTAGCGAAAGATCTGACCGCTGCGACTCTGAAGGTCCGACACGTCCGTGCCGACCCACTCGGCGAGGAAGCAAACGAGGTCGTCTTCGTACAAGTGGTCGCAGCGATCCACGTCGTAATTGTCGAAGATCTCGCGGAGCTCGCGAATGTACTCGAACACACTGGCGTCGGCCGTCCGAGCGCTCGTGAGCTCTCGGATCTGCTTGAGGCGGAGGTACGCCGAGCTCGAGATGGCGCTCGGCGTCTTCTCCAGCTGGAGCACCAAGTAGCGGCAGATGAACCCGAAGTGCTCGAGCACGATGAACGCAACGATCTGCCGCATGCCCCACGCCTCGGACGGCGCAAGGAAGAGCGCGCAGGCCATCGGGTCGCGCGTGAGCGACCGATTGAGCGTCTGAAACGGTACCATGGCCGCGTCGCTGAAGCTCATGTCGCAAAAGTCACCGTTCCAGTCGCTCACGACCGAGCCAAAGTGGTACATGACGATGAGGCCCGAGACGACCGTGATGCCAATGATGTTGGCGTAGTGCAGCACGGTGGCCCACTCGCCGATCGACGTCTACATCTCCCTATCACTCTGCACGATCAAAACATATGAGCAACGTACGTCGCGCCGGGGCATAGGTCGCCGGTGGCCGAAGAGGAGTCGGAACGCGTCGCCACGGACCTATAGACGATAGGAGCGTTGAAAAGAAGCGCGTGGCTACCTCGAGGACGTTGTTGAGGAAGGCGGGGAGCGGCAGAAGCGGCCACACGACCGTGAACATGACTATGTACGAAAACTGGATCGACGCGTCGAGGTAGTCGTACGTCGTGTCAAACACGGGCAGTCGGGACTCGGCCAGGATCTATGTCGTCGGTGTTTCGGGCTGTAAGAAGGTTGAATCAGCCATACCTCGTACGCTGTGTACTCGTTCGAATCGTCCGAGTACCCGAGGACGGGCACGAAGAAGCGAGTGGAGCGCGACACCTCGTCCGCGAGCTTGTGCGCCGTCATGTTGGCCTCGCGCCGGTGCTGGACCTTCTTCTCTTGCATCGCGCGCACGCACTAGACGTATACTTGAATCTCAATCTCAATACAAACAAACGACGAACTTGAAAGCCGGCGAGCCACGAGTCCGAGCACGCCGACCGACATGTCGCGGGCTTGCGGCGGATCTTGCGCACGACGTAGGGCAGCCCAGTCTCGAGGAGCATGTTGAGGAGCTGCGTCACGACGAGCGGCGTCACAAAGAGCGTGTCGAGCGTGAGGGCGGCGGGGTCCCACTCGTAGATGACGGCCCAGCCCCAGCCAAAGTGCCGGAAGAGGTCGTTGACGTAGTTGCCGTACGGGAGATAGAAGAAGGCGAGTGTGAGGAACCAGAAGAACCAATTGGACCACACAAAGACGAACCGCCGGTGCACGAGCCCTAGTCGCAACATTTGTGAATTCGCCGAGTGGAGGAATTGTACGGTTTTCAAAGTCGGATTTTTTCGCCAAATTTTCCCACGAGACAAACTTGGCCGAGAACCAGTTGAAGAGCTCGAAGAACACTGTGTCGATGAGAAGCCCGAGCAAGACACCCTATTCGTTGCTAGGTATTGAATATGTATAATGGTGCGGAGCTACCTGGATGAGGATGTACGCCCAGCGGTCCGTGCCCACCGTCGACGTGGGCGACTGGAAGCAGTTGATAAACTGCCGGCAGTTGCCACGCTCGGCACACACACTGCCGTCGCAGACAGGGGCGAGCTTGGACCACACATACCACTAGAGGACAGCGCAATATATCACTTGATGGGATGCAGAGGCGTATTCGCAGTACCTGGAGAAAGGGCATGAGCACGATGCACTGGAGGAGCGAGCTCAGGGCGACGAAGAAGACCATCGTGGCGCGAATGAGTCGCTTCTTGCTCTCCTTGGGCGTCTTCTCCATCTCGTGCGTGATCTCGTTCTTGGTCCAGACGTACTCAAAGGCCGGGTTCTCGTCGTTGCGCTCAAAGATCGTGTCGCGGTAGCTGGCTAAATTCCACTTTTCAGTGAGCACGCGCGTCTCGCGCTCCCAGACAAGCATGAGCGCCGGCGCCCAGACCGCGACGACGCCGAACCCGAGCACCGAGAGCCCGAGGAGGTACTTGTTCCAGACGTACCCGGGCACCCACCGAAACCCGAGGTAATAGAGGACGCAGAGCACGGTGAGCGGCAAAAGCATCTTGCTGTAGATGCGCATAAAGGCAAAGAGGAACGCGACGCGCTCGCCAAAGTGCAGCCGCAGCTCTACGAACATCTGCTTGAAAGATTGATACAAAAACGCAATTCGACCTTCGATGGCCCAGCGCTCCGAGGAATTGCCTGCCGCCTTGCGCACGTCAAAGGTGCGCTTGCGGTACTCGGCGAAGAACGTGTTGTTGAAGACGCGGTCGTGGAGTGGGAAGCAGTGCTCGATCACGTCCCAGCACGAGAGCTCGTTCGAGTGGTCCAGCACCTGTTGCCATACAGTTGATACATGGATATTACTTTCGTGGGACAGTGCAGACCCAGTCCTCGACGTCGTAGTCGCGCAGAGCGTTGCGGATGAGGTTGTGCGTCAGCTGGAGCTCGAGCGCCGGCGAGAAGCACGCGTTTCGAAGACTCTCGAGCGTCTCGAGGCCCAAGCGCGACGTCGCCTGGCCGCGCTTGATCGCGAGCTCGTCTTTCTCCCGCCGAAACTCTTGCAACAGCAGTTCCTTGTCCTACAAGCCATCGATCGCGTGATCCAGGCCACATGCTCTACCTTGTACGGGTCGATGAGCACGCAAATGTTGTTGGTCTCGTTCCACTTTTGCGCATGGTGCGGGATGCTGTTGTCGTTGTCGAGGAGGATGACGCCGAGCCCCGACTGCACGAGCCGCCGAATGCACTTGATCTGCATTGCGCCGACCTGGTCTGCGTAGTGGCGCCGCAGCGGCTTGTCCACGCGCCGCGGAAACCGCTCTTTGAGGAGCTGCTTGACTTGGTACGTGTTGCGCAGAATGATTGCAAACGTGTACCTAGACGATACACATGAGGACCCGAAGAGATCGGGCGAGATCCGACCGCTGGTTCTCTGGAATCGAGACGCTCGGGACGCTCAAGTCGGCGACCTTGGTCGTCCTGCCGCTCGTCTTCTTGGCGTCGGGTGTTGCAGGCCGCAGGGCAAATACGATGCTGTCGTTGAGCTCCGTGAGCACTGGCGCCTTGCTCGTCGTGCTCGACACCGCCGAGTGGGGACCTACATCGCTTCCATGCTAAGGCGTCGCAAGTGTAGCCATGTACGTTGGTGGGCAGAGCACATGGAGCGTGTGTCGAGTGGCGACGGTGGCGCATGGCGCGTTGGCGGCCGGACGCGCGAGAGCGGTAGCTTGGGTGGCAGCGCGCCTGCCGCTGGGCTCATGAGCACCGAGTACGTGCCAGCGTCGTCGTCGTCGAACGAGATGCGACGGTCAGGGCTTGCGTCGCTCTGCATGCTGCCGGCTGGGAATATTGAAACTCCGGTATCCTACAGAATCCTTTCGTGTGCCAAAGGTTGAAGTAGGTGCGCCTTTCCGAATCCAGATTCCGGTTGGATACCGTGCCGGACGAGATGCGAGATCTTCTCCAGCGGCCATGGTCTGGCGACAGCAGATCATCAGGTGCTTGGCATCGAGAAGCTGCGCCACGACGCAGATTGCATACGAGGTAGACGTGCAACCCATGGGAAATGCATGTTTAAACATCACACTTTGACAAGCTGGTTTGCGATAGAATAACCCCGTCGTTTCTCGCAGCAGCAGGCAGGATCTGGAAGTAGAATGTACTCATCTCTGCAAGAGCTATCTGCAAGCGCGTACACGTTCGATTCCTGGCCCCATGCATTGCAACCAGCTGCGCTAGGCGGTGCCTTATTTTAGGGCGCCATGTTGGTGCTCCTTTCCTAAACGCAGCCTGAAACGGCAGCATACAGCGCTTGGTATGGAGGTCGAGCGGTGCCAGGACGACGCCGTCGCGGCGATCCGCGCTGCCATGGCGGACAGCAAGGTACATGGTGGCAAGTAAGGTGAGGTGACAGCGGCTATGTATGCACAGGCGCAGCTGGCGTCGGTCAACTCGATCCTTGTCGGCTTCAAGGGTGGCCTCGACCGGCTCGAGGGGCAGATGATGCCCATCTACAGCCTCACCGAGAAGCTGCGCGAGACGCAAAAGAACATTGACATTAGCGTACACGAGCTGCGCGCAGTGAACGAGAACTTTACGACCGCCAGCGACGTACTACGAGGCTATGGGCCTTGCCTCAGCATCCTCCTGTATAGGTCGCGACCGTGCTGCAGCAAGGCGCCAAGTACGACCAAGAGCGCTACATCAAGACGATGCACAAGCTCTTGCGCTCGATCGAGTTTCTCGAGCTCCACCGTGGCTACGAGGGCTCGGGCAAGGCGCTCGACCACGCCCGCCACGTGCTCACGCAGGCCCAGGCCAAGTGCAAGTCGGACTTTGTCTCGGATGTCGCCCTCGTCTTGCGCTACTCAGTCAGCGCACAGAGTCTGGTTGCGTCCACGCTTCACGACGCCGACGTCGTCAAAGGGTCGAAGCTCCTTACGTGCCTCTTGAGCACGAAGCTGCCGCCGACGGCGCTGCTCGTCGAGTACGGCGAGCGACGACTCAAGCTCGTGACCGAAGCACTCGACAAGGTCAAGGCGTACGTCATTTCCATTATCTCGGTCGTCGTTAACGCAGACATAGATTTAGCAAGGATGACGCAGGGTCGCAAGCGCGCATCGCCGAGTACCTGGACAACATCGTGCTCGCCATCCACGTACACTCCCCATATATAGAGCAACACCTAGAAAGTCCACGTACTAGGCCGAGAAGGAGCTCGCGAACCGCGTGTTCCCCAACGAAGACTTGGCCCACGCGGCGCTGAGCTGGACGGTTGCGCCGCTGCTCGAAAGTCTCACAAAAGACGTCAAGGAGGAAGATGCCAAAGACGTCTTCCAGCCCATGGAGCTCCACTACATGTTCAAGTCCAAGAGCACGTCGTTCCGGGACGTGCTGCAGGTTGAATCTTGGTTTCAATTCTCTGGATTATTTATGCGCCATTGCGTAGCCGCCGCTGCGACTGCGCGAGCACCCAGGGAGCGAGACGACCGAGCCGTGGAAGCTCGTGGGGATCATTGGCAAAATCGAAGAAGGTCTCGCAGCCACGTCGCGCGTCAAGCTCGGCGCCTTCAAAGAAGACATTGCCGACTCGGTGCTCCACGACAAGCTCGGGCTCAAGGACGGCAACGTGCACCCGATCTCAAGCCACGTATGTGTTTATTGTATCTTGAACGTGGTGCTACCTACGTGCGTGCGTTTAGACAATGCACTTTCTGCGCGAGCTCAGCGACCACGTTATCGCGCTCGAATGTCTCCTCTCGACCGACCAAACGAGCAACGTCACGTACTTTGTCGGTACGTATCCTAGGAAGCTACCTGTCCATGTGTCAATTGGGTGATTATAGACTCGGTGTTGATGAAGCTGCTGGACGCGCTGCAGGCAAAGGCATCGGCCGCCAAGGCGCGCGGCGACCTCAAGGCCATTTTTCTCGTCAACAACACTTTTTACGTGGCGAGCGCGATGGCGCAGCTCGCAGGCGACTTTGCGAGCCAATCCCCGGTCGTGACGACTGCCATCCAGCAGACCATGCAGCCCAAGGTCGCTGCGCTCGGCGAGAAGGCCATGGCGGGCTTCGTCGAGGCGAGGTACGACTGTTTAATATCACGTCTCGTCCTCAGACTTCGAGTAGCTACGACGGCTTTGAGAGCATTGTCGCCGACCCGAAAAGCACGTTGCAGTACAAGAGCAACAGCGCCGTGCTCACGCTCGAGAGCGGCCGCCTCCTCAAGGACAAGTTTGCGGTGGCCAACCCGTCGCAAGGGAGATTCTCACATCGTGTCTAGCGCTTCAACGCCGCGCTGGAGGAAGTGCACACCCACCATGTACGGCGTGGAGGTATATTCTCAACTCCGAGCATTCGAGTAGAAGGCGTTTGTCGTGCCGGACGCCGAGCTGCGCGAGAAGCTGACGACGATGGCGGCGCAGCGCATCGTGCCAGGCTACCGCGCGTTCTACGACAAGTGCGTGCGTATGATTGGGCCGAACTCATTGCGCGTCGGTCGTAGGTACGCGGGCATCCAGTTTTCCAAGAAAAACATGGAGAAGTACGTCAAGTACAAGCCCGACACCGTCCAGAGCATGCTCTCGGACCTCTTCCAGGGCGACCACGCATAACCACTCCAAGCACATACTACATCCACGTGAATTACGAGTTGAGCTACATGGTGAGCGTTGCCTCCTGCACCACCGAGTCGACGTGACGCGCCTCTTTGATTGGGAACGGCAGCTTGGTCGGGCTCCGCTGCTTCTTGGTCGGCGAGTTGGCGTAGAAGGCCAAAAAGTACTTGAGGCTGCGGCAGCGACCTACACCATAATTAGTGAACCTCAAACTCAAAAATGCTTGCGACGTACGCACGGCGAGCGCCTTGGACTGTCCCTCGAGCATCGTCGCATACGTTCCGTCGTGGTACTCGATGCGAATCTACGCACATGGTATCGCACTCTACAAGAGCACGCTCCGGACCTTGTACGAGCGTGTGTCGACGTCGCCCGTCTTTTCGCCCTGCAAAGAGTGAGGATTCAAACCATTTTTGGCGATATTGCAGACCAAGCAGTCGACCGAGACGTCGGCGATTTCCGCAAGCTGCCGCACCACAAACGTGTCTTTCCTACGTCTTCTTCATGGGCACTTAGGTATTATCTTTGGGAACGTACCCGCGCCCGAGCACGTGGCTAATGCAGCCGCGTTGCGAGATGGAGATCGTGCCCTTGTTTCGGTCCATGCAAAACACTTCGACTTCGCTGCAGAGAAAGCAGAGCGCGCCGAGGAAAAAGAGGAGCACGTCAAAGAGGTATTGCCACCAAAAGCCTTTCGGGAACCGGTAGATGCTCGTGGACGAGAGCGCATACGTAAAGAAGCCCGCGCCGCCGAGGAGGAGGAGGCCGAGTCCCCAGAGGTGGTACGGGTACGTCACAAACTTGATCTTCTTGAAGTCCTGCGAGTGGTTCTCGGGGAAGAGACAGTCAAAGTTGTCGTTGCGCCGCGTGGATTTCTACTCGAGTGCGATCATACTAGACTCCTATGCGCGTCGTACGTTCATGTGCAGCCACGTTTGCGTGATCGAGTATGTCTTTTGGAGAAAGCGGCCGCCGGGCGACGTCGGGAGGCGACGAGACGACGTCGGCTCGACCGCCTGCTCACTCTCCTCGCTTTGCTGTGATTTGGCTGGCGTCACGATGCTGTTGCGCTTGGCATCGTACGTCTTGGCGGCTGTCATCTTCGAACCGTCGCGAAACCGTTTCTGTCGTGTTTAGAGGCATATTTTCTCGCCCACTCTACGTTCACATTTAGTTCACTACATGAAAAATACTTTCCAACCCAAGAATTGCAGCTCCCGCCGCAATGCCGTCTTTGTACGCTAGTGCTCCATTATCCTGGTATGAACGTTTCGTGGTACCAACGACTCCAACCGTGCGCGGACTTCCTCATCGGCCACGACCAAAGGGGTTTTATTCATGGTCGCACGCTCCTGACCAACGTGCAACGCCTGGAAGACACGCTCGAGTACATCCACCGTCACGTGTCGTCAGGAGTGCTTGCGCTCCTCGACTTTAAGAAGGCTTTAGACCACGTCGATCATCGCTACCTACACGTCGCACTTCAGGAGCTCGGGCTTCCACTGGAGCTTCTTCGTACTGTCCCGTGCCTTTACTCGGGGCAAGCGTCCCGTCTGCTTACCAATGGCTATCTCTCTCGTCCGTTCGAAACCAGACGCGGTGTGCTCCAAGGCGACCCGCTCTCGCCACTGCTCTCTGTCCTCGCCCTCGAACCAATGTGTCAACTGCTCCGGTCGCACGGCCGTGCTATAGGCCGTGCGCTGCGCTGCAGGTTCGGAGCTACGAGATTGATAAGCGCCTTGGTCGGCTTCAACGACTGAACCAGCCGCAGCGTCGGCATGTTAGGCAGAGGCGAGTGCGTGAGGACATGCGTCTTGTCTCGGTTCAGCTTGAATCCTGAGAGGCTGCAAAAGGGTCTACGAGCGCCAGCTGGCGCTGAAGAGCGGCTTCATTAGTCGTAAAGAGTTGGGAGTCGTCGGCAAAACAGCTGCTGGCGCTGAAGAGCGGCTTCATTAGTCGTAAAGAGTTGGGAGTCGTCGGCAAAACAGCTGACGACGTGTGTCATTGAGTTGATCTGGAGGTCTTCCTGGGCATGGTAGCGGAGCTGGAGGCACATCGGTTCGAGCGCCATCACGAAGAGCAGTGGCGAGAGCGGGTCGCCTTGTAGTTCACTCCGTTTGATGGAGAAGGGCGACGAGAGGTCACCGTTGACGAGGATCTTGGATCGGCGTCCTGAGTACAAGCATTTTACTATGGTGCAGAAGCGCTGCGGGAGACCCCACTTGTGGAGCACCGCGAGCAAGCAGCCGTGGTCGACTCGGTCAAAAGCTTTCTCAAGGTCGAGGAACGCGATGGCTGCCTCGGGCATGTGGCGGCGGGCGTACTCGAGCCTTCTAGCCGCTCAATGTTGTGCATGATCCAGCATCCTCTGATGAAGCCGTTCGGATTCGTGTGTACCACGAGGTCAGCGCACGGCTGCAGCCGATTGGCCAAGACGGCGGTGAGGATATTGACATCGCTGTTGATGAGGCTGATCGGACGGTAGCTGGCAGGGCATTTGCGATCGCCATTCTTGTGCAAGAGGATCGTCGTGCCTTGGACTTGGTTCGGCATAAGCGTTGCACTGCCGCTTCCATCTTGTGCTCTTAAACTTGTGCGTTGTGTTCCAGTCTAGAAGAGCTTCTAGAAGTTCTAGACGCCGATTGATGTCTAGTATCGCTTTTATGATGGTTTGGCACGGGTGGCGGTTCAGGTCTTTCACATCTTTTTGGGTGCTAGCCTAGCACCCATATAGTCATTCTACGCAAACCACCATGCGTCATCGTCAAGAGCTTGCGAGAAGAAGGTCGTATGCTGGGGTCATGGACCATATCGAATCACGGAGGTGGCTAGCGAGTCGTCGGTACTGCGCGACTTGATCGTGGAGCTACTGGTTCTCGAGACGTGTGAGCTCGGAGACGTGGTGGGGCTGATGGGCGACATCTTGCCATGCGACGAGCGTTCCGCGGAGGACATAAAGCTGGCGCGTGAGGTCGAGGATGGCCTGTCGGAGTGCCGAGACCTCGTCAATGTCGGCTCGTCGCTGAAGTCGTTTGGCTTTGCGGTTGTGGGCGAGCTTTCGCGCGCGAGGTGTGTTGGCGTCGTGACCTATCCTTTGTGTCTTGATCATACCTGCCACTCGTGGTGTGCGGCTTGTTTTTGACTTTTAAAGTTCTGTGCTTGGGTACCTTTGCCTAGCACTGCCAGGCAAAAAGGTAAAAAGCCCACATCCAACTTGTCATGACCAGCACAGCTCTACATGTCGCGTTATTGACCTCTCCATTTCGCCAATTCAGCCTCATGTAAGCGCTAGAAGCAGCCAC